AAAGCATAGGTAGGAAGCAAAAGAGCTATAATAGCTCATGAAATATGCCAGACATTTTAAAAAAGAGTGTTTTATTAAAAATGTAAGAAGCTATCAATGACTCTGAAAAACTGGGGCAATTTGAAAACTCTTGTTAATATAATTACCTATGCATAGGCAGTGGTTGAAATATAAATCTGTGATTGCTTCAGATTGCTTAGCTGGCAGGGTTAACCTTGTGCTGGAATTTATTTTCCCTGCATATCTAAACCTTTGCTTTCTATATAGGTTGGAAGTTCCTATAATAAGAAAATTCTCTTAATTGTTGAAGCATAGCATGCTCATTGTTTAAAATCTCCTCTAATAGTAAGTGGCCATCATCCACTGATTCCTTTGTTTAATGGTTTATCCTTAGCTCCATTTACCCCTTTGTGCCCTTAAAGAAATCACATTCAGGGGAGACTTGACTATTTGTCACTAACCCTTCCCAATTGCTTGCCAAACATTTTCAAGTAGCCTCAGAGAACTCTCTGTTTAGTTGAATATACCACTATTAGCTGAAATAGGAAAGGATGTTGGCTGCTACTTTTTGTCAGTTGCATAGAGTATCACATATGTGATGGGCTCTGCAGGGGGAAAATAAGAAACACAAGAGGGATTCCCTACCTCTGTGAATGTTGGGGTGTGGCTGGGTCACAGAGGGAAGCATAAAAAATGGAGAATTCTACCCCTGTAAAATTAGAAACTTTCATTCTGTCTCACATCCCAGTTCCTACACATGGCCAGGTCCCTCACATCTCTTCCCACTTCTATCTAAACTCAAATGTTTCACTAACACAAGGAAAATGTAAGACTTTCTTTCAAAAGACTACCTTGAAAAATATAGGTTTTGTTTTTATTTTATTGTACATTCAATACATGCGCAAACCAAAGGGCTGGCTTCTGTTTTTCTTTCATTCCTGTTCTTTGTCTGCCTTCACTTGGAAGGAGAGATTACTTCCAGCTTATGTCTTTATTGAGCTATTTATTCATTTATTGAGTGTTTCTATTAATTCAATATTCACCCCATGCCAGTCACTCTGACCCATGCTGGGCACCCAGAGTGCGGGTTGTAGATAGGAAAGATTAAAGGCACTCCCAGGATGCCAAGGAAGGGGCATTGGTAGGTCACCGAAAACAGGTCTGGTATCACAGCTGAGAAAGAAATATTAATTAAGATTTGGGTCAGTAAGAACAGTTCGAGCCTGTACGTTGAGTAGAGCAGAGGGTCAAGGAGTTGGAAGAGAAGGTACCTCTGTGGACTCGAGAGTGCCAAATTAAAAATGTTAGCTGGCGTTTCCACCCTCCTCCAGGGGGCCATGACTGTTAGAGTGGAATTGAAAAGCGTCACGCCCGGTCTGGGGGCCATTCTGATCTGACAAAGCAGGGCTACCCACTGTGCTAAATGTGCTGCCATTATTTCTCTGCCCTCATTCTTGGTTGCAACTGCTTTCCAATTAATATCTTCGGTGCATTATAAGTTTGCTCTTGATGGCAGTCATTCAATAAAATAAAAAAATAAAAAACAAGCTTAAACTGAAATCAGCAGTGAACAAATTTTTAATAACTTTATAGATTCTTTTTTAAAGTTAGCCAAGACTGACTTTTGTTTGATAGATTTTCCTGCCTCCAAAGACCTCTGATCAGAATGCGCAATTCTATTTTTTACTTATGTTGTGTGATGGGTTTGCTGGGAGGTTTCTGTTTGCTCCTCCAGATCGAATCTCCATGCTTTTCTTTCTGCCCTGTACCCTGGGAGGCTGACTATCCTGGACTCTACAAATAGAAACCTTAACTTTCTGGCTTCCACTTGGATTTGACCAATGGGAATTACCAGCAGGAGAGCAGAGTTTACTCCCCCAGTTTCCTCACTGTTGCTAAAGGCTGAACAGCTGTTCACTGCTCTGGACAGGGGAAGAGAGAGCGGAGGTAGAAGGTGGAGGGGAGAAGGAGACTTTCCATATAGCCCTTCTCCATCCAGGTCTTAGTGACTTGTTTCTACTCTTTGAACCCTGATCTTTATTAAAGGAGTAACTGACCTCAGGGTACTTCGTTATCCCTACTCCTGTGGTTTCAGTGCCTTATAAACTATTCATGGATTAAAGTCTCCTACAATCCATCCAATTGGAATACACTTCTGTTCTTGTTATTCTGACACAAAGGGAAACTAAGTTAGAGAAGGTTGGCCAGAAATTTCCCGGAGGTGATGTGGTAGAGGCAACTACATTTTCATGGAAAAATATCAGAATAGAGATCCTGACTCACAGTTGCTGGGTAACCTTGGTCTGTGTCCCTAATCATTCTGTACCCAAGCTGCTTCTCTGTAAAATGAATGAAGTACTTTTCTAGTTTTCTGTGAAGATATAATAAGAAAAGTGCTAAGCACAGTACCTGGGGCAGAAACAAGTTTCTTATCCTGATTGGTAGTAATTAAGGCAGCCTTTCAGGTGTTAATGAAGCCAATACTCCAGTTTCTACCATTATAATAGCAGGTTTTTCTCAGTGGCCTGGCCACTCAATGATTTCTTGCACTATTAACCCAGGGTAGACATGAATTCATTGGTTCAACTAATATTTATTGATTGCCTGTTATCTAAACAACAGCACGTAAAGAGGTGTGGAGAATTAAAATACGACGTAACTCTTATTTCTCAGGAAGCTTGCATTTTAGTAGGAAGAAGGAGACAGAAAATTATCGTCATTTAGTCATTTTAGCTTCTCTCAGGACTTCAGATATTCTTACATAGGAAGCTAAATACCGCAGAATGATAGGATTACAGGAGATGTAAAAGGGGCAGATTGTCAACAAACTGGAATGCTAACTATTTAAAGGAAGAAATCATTTCTCTAAGTCTGGAAGAGGTTATCTTGTAAATGTAAGCCATAGGTGATCCTGAAACTCATTTCCAGAACGCCGACTCTAGGAGAGCAGGTGTGACTTCCTGGCCATGCCAGACTGGCCATCCATTCCACAGACTAGCTTTCCTCAGTTCCAGGGTTCAGCAATCCTTTTACACAAACTTTGAACTGGCCATCTCAATCATGATTTCAAAAAGAAACCTATTTAAATCAGTGTTGTTTAAATGATACAAAGAGTGTACTCAATGTTTAATTCTACTTTAGGTATGAAGGTCTCTCCGATCCACCTTCACCTACAAAGTTAAAATACTCTCTTATCCTTGTTTTGGTTTGTTACGGGTAGATGATTTTTTTAAATGAAGAGTTCATGCCTCACTCCTGGCCAAGGAGCATTTGATTGATTGATTTGGAATCTCAATATTCCCTTCAGCTAAATGGGAAAATGTTGATTTCTTCACAAATAATTCCTATTTTCATCTGATTTCAATACTAAGCCATTAAAGCACTAATCTAGGGCTAAAATCAATTATGTCTCTTGCATTTAAAAATTAAATTGACTCACCATGGGAGTAGGATAAAGGAAAAATATATCCCTCCTATTATATGTAATTAAAATTGTATTAAGGATACACTAATATATTTAAAGCCTATTCATCCTAATGAGAAAGATGGGAGATTCAGAGTCTTCAAGAGACAAAATTGTTTCCAATATCTAGCCAAATAAATAACCCCTGTTTCTGCCTAGATATGAAGAGTTTGATCAAAATATATATTATTGTCAGTCTTAGAGTTTTTAGCTCACAAAATGTTCTGAATTTTCTAGGAATCCATGTAAACAAAGAAACAAAAGTAAAAGGCTTTTGGACTGGTCAATTGATATTGATACTGGTCATGTGACTTGGGATGGGACAATTATTTTACATGGCCTCCCACTTGCCCAAGTGGTTGGAGTGAGTTTCATGGGTCCAGCTTAATGCCATCTGAAAATCTGGTGAGTGTGCTTGGATGTGTGGGTTTGAACATTAAAGGCACATCAAAACATTCATAAGCAATTTAGCTACGCAGTAACTGTAGGCTCCAGTGCCTTCCTAGGAATACAATATTCCATGTATTACATTTCCATTATTATTAAAGACAAGCCATACGATTCTACATCTACCAAAGATAGTCTATATGGGAATACAGATAGACACAATATACACACAGAGACACACACAGCCATATACAGACACACAAACGTACAGATATGCACACAGGCATGTGACAGGTGCACACACACAGACACTAACAACAAAAACAAGTGTTATTTTTCAGTTTCTCACAATGATATGCTTTGAGTGATATAAATCAAACGACAGGGTGATATGAGATATCAGAGATGAAAGGCCAGTTGGCTATAAGATGTTACCAATACTCCAAGCCATCAGGGGCTTGGGCTCTCAAAACAGTACAACTGAGGCAGGACTACTAATTAGTTTTCTAGCCAAGTGAGAGTTTACTGTCACTTCAGCCATTTCCTTGTTCCATTTCCCCACAGGAAAACCATACTGGCACATAAATCACACTGCTTCTAACTGCCAACCACAATGCCCTGGACTCTAACACAGCCTGTATTCAAGAGCCAGTCATGTTAGAATAAATACTTCAGAAGACTGTCTCCATTTACAACTGAACAGGCTGGGTCCCTGCATTGGTGTGTCCTCATTTGTGTGCTACTTAAGAACTTTAGAAGGACAAAGGACCTTAGAATTTTACAAGGGAAAGGATCTTAGACATCAGCCCTGTAGATAAGTGCTCTTCTTTTAAAGGTGAGACAGCTGAAGGCCTAGCAGGTGAAGTGATTTAGGAACAGCATTATCACTGTAGCTTGGCTCCTTTGGGATTTGAAGATCCCTTCTCCATATTGAGACCTCTTCTAAAGTGTGAACACCATGCTAGGGCCTTTCACAATAGATTATAGAATTTATTTAATTGTCACAACAGTCTCATGAGGTGGATATAATCTTAGTTTGCAGCTTGGAAATTACCTAACTGGTAAACAGAGGGGTATAGACGGGAACCTAGGTCTGATAGATTCATGCCAGAGCTGACTCTCTGGAGTCATTGATTAAAATGCAAATACAGTGCTCGCTTTGGCAGCACATATATTAAAATTGGAACGATACAGAGAAGATTAGCATGGCCCCTGCACAAGATGACACACAAATTCATGAAGCGTTCCACATTTTTACTGAACTGGGAAGACATAGAAAACTTGAACAGACCAATAAAAACAAAAGAAATTGAAGATGTAATCAAGACTTTCTCAGCAAACAAAAGCCCAGGCCCAGACGACTTCACTGGGGAATTTTACCAAACATTCAAAGAAGAACCAATACTCATTCTCCTCAAACTATTTCAAAAAATTCAAGAAGACTTCCAAAGTCGGTTCATGAGTCCAGCAGAATTCTAATTCCAAAACCAGAAAAAGACACTACAAAGAAAGAAAACTACAGACCAATATCCCTGATGAACATAGATGCCAAAATCCTGAACAAAATACTAGCAAATAGAATCCAGCAATACATCAAAAAAATTATTCATCATGACCAAGTGGGATTCATCCCAAGGAGGTACAGCTAAAGAAACAACCATCAAAATGGAAAGGCAACCCACTTTATGGTAGAGCATTATTACCAACGATATTTCAGATAAGGGGTTAATTTCCAAAATATATAAAGTACTCAAACAACTCAACAAAAGGAAGACAAAGAAACCAATTAAGAAATGGGCAGAGGAACAAAATAGACACCTCTCCAAACAGGACATACAAATGGCTAAGATACTTATGAAAAAAATGTTCAACATCACTAATCATCAAAGAGATGCAAATTAAAGCAACAATAAGGTATCACCTCATGCCTGTCAGAATGGCTGCCATCAACAAACCATCAAACAACAAGTACTGGTGAGGGTGTGGAGAAAAGGGGACTCTAGTACACTGCTGGTGGGAATGCAGACTGGTGCAGTCACTATGGAAAACAATATGGTGTTACTTCAAAAAATTAAAAATTGAACTGCCATTTGACCCAGTGATCTCACTTCTAGGAATATACCCGCAGAAGCCTGAAACACCAATCAGAAAGATTATATGTACCCCCATGTTCATAACAGCACTATTTACAATAGCTAAGATCTGGAAACAGCCCAAGTGTCCATCAGTAGATGAATGGATAAAAATGCAGTGGTACATATACACAATGGAGTACTATGCAGCTATAAGAAAGAAAGATCTCTTATCCTTTGAGACGACATGGAGGGACCTGGAAAGTATTATCCTAAACGAAACAAGCCAAACAGAGAAAGACAAGTTTCATATGATCTCACTTATTTGTGAAATATAATGAACATAACAATCTGAGGAATGGGGTAGTCCCAGAGATATGGAAGTTGGGTACAAACTGACAATCCCCAGAAGAGGGAGTGTGGGGGAGAGATAAACCACAGAACTTCTATCCATGTATGCATGAACAATGGACATGGACAACAAAGCTGGGGACAGGGTGGGTAATCAGTGGGGGAAAAGGAGAAACATCTGTAACAAAAATAAATTAATTAATTTAAAATATAAATAATTAAATAAAAATAAAATGCAAATACACCTGGGAATTATAGTCTTAGAACCTCATATCGCAGTTATTAGTCCTGTTTTAGGAAGGACTAGTTGGCAACTCCATGAAAGTAAAAACTGGACTCCATAGTTGTGCTTAAATGTGGATTTTGATGGCAAAATGGCAGAGTGTAAGCTACCTATTTCATAGCTTTGCTTGAGCTACTCCTACTCCACGTGCCCATCAACTGGGTGGTGCCTGGTAGAGGAGCAGATGGGAAAGAGACAGGTCTGCATTACTGGAGAAAATGAGCCCACCCCTAATCCATACTGTTGCATAAGAGCCCCATTTAGAAATGGGTTTGCCCTGAAATCCTCGGAGAAAGCCCATTTTCTGGTGAACAGGACAAGGCCCCTTCAGGCGGTCTCATCGCTTTGTGGCTTCTATGATGATAATATATTTGTGCATAATCCATAATTAACTGGGAAGAGCATAATATTAATTATTTTGCTCAATTGTTAATCAGTGGGGTGTTTCCCTCTCGCATCCTGCTCCTTGCACACTAACCTGTCAGATTCTAGTAATTGTTGCATGAACAGGTTTGGGTAAAAGTCTCCGAGGAGGACCAATTCTCTTGTTCCATTAGCGAGAACACATATAGATCATTTTCAGCGCTAATCTAGGGCTAAAATCAATTATGTCTCTTGTATTTAAAAATTAAATTGACTCGCCATGGGAGTAGGATGAAGGAAAAATACATTCCTCCTATTATGTGTAATTACAATTGTAAAACATTTCCTTCGGAATGTAATTGCTGCCTGCAGAGGCTGAAGCGGGTGAGCTTGGAGTGTTCAGTGGAAACGCTGGGCTTTCTTTCAGGTCTTTCTTCTGGCTTTTGTTTCCCACCCCTCCCCAGACCTCTTTCTTCCTCTTTACTTTAATGCTATTATAACACTGTGAGGTCCTCCAAGGCTTCTCAATTTACAAAGAATCTCAAATGTAGTTTAGGGCAAAGGGAGCAAAATCCAGCGTAGAAAAAAGAGAGAGCTAATTATGCCTGTAATCTATATGATGAAAATTTCACTCTTACTTAGTGTTTATTTAGTGTTCTTTGTGTGGCCAGCCCGAGTTGGGTGCTGTGGGAGACACACACAAATGGCATGGTCTCTATTATCAAGGTCTTTGGTTTTGATGAATGACCCAAGTATATGTTATATGAAAATTAAGCAGCTTGCTTTTTTTTTTTTCTTTTTGTACTTAGAGAGATACTTACTTAACCAATGATAGACTTTGCAGTGCTTAAGGAGGTCAGTAAACTAGAAGATCACAGAATTGATCATGAATTCTCTTAAAACTCAGTGCTCAGACTTGACTTATTTCCTCCCCCAGAAATATCACCATTTCCCATAAGTACAACAATCCCACTTTAGGAGTATTTTGGTTGCAAAACAGTAACTAACTCTAAATGGCTCACATATAGAGTTGCTAGATAAAATACAGGCTACCCAATTAAATGAGAAATTCAAATTGTTAAACAAGACAACAGACCTAGAATGGAATTGTTTATACTAAGCACCATATCACCAAACCGAGACAACTTTATTATAGTTTTAGCTTCCCAAAAATAGGATTTTAAACCATCAGTCAGAAATCACTTGATCAGTACTAATAAGGCAATCTGCTTGACAGACCCCCACCATCCCTTAGGAAGGTAATTTTGCAGTAACCAGCCAACTTGCTTTTTTTGTCTAGAATTGTTCTTGGTTCTTTCTGCCTAAAAAAGTCTTTCATTTTGTACAGCTCTTCTGAGCTCCTTTTTTCTGCTAGATTGAATGCTGCTCTATTTAAATTGATTTTTGCACAAATTTTATATGCCTCAGTTTATCTTTTTTCCATTATTGATTTTAGAAAAAGAGGAAGTGTGAGGGAGAGAGAGATGGAAACATCTATGAGAGAGAGCATCAATTGACCACCTCCTGCATGCCCCGCACTGGGGATTGGGCCCACAACCTGGGCATATGTCCTGACTGGGAATCGAACTGGCGACCTCTTGGTGCATGGGTAGATGCTCAACCACTGAGCCACACTGGCTGAACTCAGTATATCTTTTAACCAGATAATAACCGTTAGAGGTATTCTTTTTTTAAGTATAAGTATGCCTCAAATATTGCAGGGGGCATTCTTATATAAAACACATGTATTCATTGTTTATCTAAACTTCACATGTAACTAGGAGTTCTGTATTTTTATTTGCCAGATCAGACAAACCTATTTACATAAAGAAAACCATTTATTATAAGGATATATGATGTCTCCAGGAAATAAAGGCAGAAGTACAGCTTGACCTCAGAAATAGACTAAAGTAGTGATTCAGGGCACAGAATCTTCTTCCTCTGTCTCCCATCTCCTTTTCTTTCTTTATACATCTGCGTATTCTTTGCTTCTGCTCCAGGCAAGCTTTCTTTGTTTACCAATGCCCATCATGGAAAACAGAGAGTACTGACCATTTTAACTGCCCCTTTTAAGGAGATCAGCGGTCCTATGCTGGAACTCAGTCCCAACTCCAAATTCCTGGGGGAAAGTACTGATTGGCCAAACTCTTGTCAATTGCCCACTCTCGGACCAGTTCAGGATAATGTGAGATTAATGTCATATTTTACAAATCCTATTAAATCTCATTGTTTTTTTGTGTGTGTGTTTTAATCCTCACCAGAAGATATTTTTCTATTTATTTTCAGATAGAGTGGGAGGGAGGGAGAGAGAGAGAAACATTGGTGTGAGAGAGACACATCGACTGGTTGTATCCTGCAGGACCCCAATGAGGACAAACCGCAACTAAGGTACGTGCCCTCAACCGAATCGAACCCATGACTCCTTAGTCCGAGGGCCAAAACTCCACCGCTGAGCTAAACCGTCCAGGGCTAAATCACATGTTTGAATGGTTATATCTGTTAAAAGTGGTAGTGATAAATAAAACAGAGGGATGGTCACAAAAAATTAGTGTTACTACAATTTCTTAAATTAGTGAATCCCAAGTAGAATTTCTACTTGCTAAAATGATTTATCTTGAAGTCTTTTGTCATCTTAAAAGCACCCCAGTTAAAAATTTGACCTTCAGTTTCTATTAACATTAACTTTCTTACTCAATTTCTTTTTGTATGTATATGACGGTATCACACTCCCCATAGTCTTCAAATAATTACCGAATCCTGTTCTTTTTCTCTGATCTCTCACGTCTGGTCATTCTTTAAACTCTATTTATATGTCCATCATAAGATCTTTAAAAAAACAAAACTTTTAAAGTGGAGTTTTTCTTTTACACATTCTATAATTCTAGTTGTACCTTCATCACTTGTTTATAAATTACTCAAGTTGCGTAACAGGCCTTTCATATCCAGACAGTTCTCATTTTAAAATACTCTATTCATTAATTAGTTTTGGATAAGTTTTATTTGTTTGTTTTTTAGAGCAGGTTGCATGTATTGTCTTTTTTGCAAATTCAAGAAGAGATCACTAACTTTTGTAGGGTCTGGAGAATAAGTCCTGGCTTCAAGACATAGCTTCTTGATGTGGAATGAGACCCTGAGTTCATTTTTCCTACTTCATAGGGCTGCTGTCGAGAATAAATGCTCCCAAATT